AAAATCGGTACCAGTCTAGGTTGCAATTATGGTTTGATGCTCAAAATAACCCCTGACGTATGACATATTTTCTTTCATTCGATGTTCGGTTTTATGTTGTTGGGAACTTTAAAAAGATTATGTTTTTTTCATTATATGCTTTCATTTTATTCTTGTTTATATATAAAAAAAAAACATATGCTCAATAATGATTGACAAAAAAAAAACATCATGTTTGATAAAATTCGTCTGATACGCATAATGTTTGACAAAAAACAAAAACACAAAACATCATAAGTTTTCATAACATCATTACACATTTATTTGGAATTGGCGTAATCCAACTTAAGCTTAGCCAATTCGTCTGTTAACTGCGCCGCCTGCAGAGGATCATGAGCTGTTAAACCCCGCAGAGTCCTCGAGGTAAGAGTCAAAGCACGGTCCATCCACTACAAAACAAAAAAAAAAAGAATATATGCACATTATTTATTAAAATAAAATTTATTCTAATCAAATATTATTAATTAATAGCTTGCGAATGTCTTACATAGTCGGTGTTCCCACGCGTAGGGACCTCTCTCTCGTCAGGCAAACCCTCACCCAAGACAGTAGGATGAGAAACCCGACGGTACCACAGCAAGTACTCCAGATCGGCCTCCCCTCGATCATCTGTGGCGACCCTACACAAGCTGGTGTTGACAGTCTGCGACATCGGAAACTGGTTCCACATATTTACTGCGCCGACATCAGAATGCTCGACTTTGTACAGCCTCGACTGCCAATCACAGTAATAATTGTTAGTTAATCATTCACGATTATAAAATTCTAATTAATCGTGTATAAAATTCTAAATAATCATCTATACTACCTGCCAAGCACGGTTTACAGCGGTCGGCGTCTGTATAGGGGGAGGGATGGTCTGGACATACCCCAATTGCCGCAGAAACCGTACAGGATAGTACGACTCGACAATATCTCGGTACCGAATCAGTCCGCAATAAAGAGTCCTCTGCTCTATCTCATCTGGCCATGAG